GTGGTAATTACTAAGGCAGTGAAACTGATCAAATCACCTGTACAAAATAATGGAAATCCTGAAAACATGACCTGTTGGGGGTCCATGAGGACTGGAATTGAGAAACACTGCTCTAAAGCAATACCAATACCAACTAAATAAGCATGGCAAACAATTTAGCATGTAGTGTAGTGGATACAAAGGTAAAGAGTTAGCATTATGTTAAAAAACGAAATGCTACGTTTCAAGAGATATAAAAATTGCTTAAAAGAAACATGGAACAGATTTTTGTTTTAATTTCATGAAGATTTACTTGAAAAACTAGAGCAGTTGCTCAGTATGGCAGCAAATTTGATTGTTTGCCTTAAAATGTGTTACATTTTGTTTGTCCATTGTTAGTGTGAATAATTGCCCCATTTTCTTTAAAACTGCAGTTTTGAAAGCTGAAACCGGTTTGGTTGTTATAAGATTTTTTTTTTTGCACCAGATGTTATAATTCAGCTTTGTACTGCCTATTACCCTACACTCATACAGAAATGAGTTGCCTTTAAAATAAATAAATAAAATAAATGGACAATAGTTTATATGTAAAAAAACCTAAAGCCTAGTACCTTAATACCAAAATGCAAGTAGACACTGATATATTCAAACTAGGGAAATATATCAAAAGCTGAACACATGCCTAAAAGCAGCCAGTTTTATCCAGTTTTTTTTCCAATCTACGTCCTGGAGTAGTTACTAGTAGCAAAAGCATCTGCAAGATGGAACTACTGGACTATCTTAATTTTATGATTAAGGTTTCCATTGTACGCAGACTACTTTATCATATTGCTTGGATGAAGATAAACTCTTACTCACCGATCGTCCCACCCACCCCCAAGGAATTTCAGACAAGGTTTCTTTATTCTAAAATGCTTGCTATAGTTAAACTGTGGACCCACTTAAGCCGAGTATAGACAGTTCGAGTCTCAGCCGGTTCGAACCATGTACCAAAGTTGAGGCTTAATGATGGTTGCAGTAAAGAACTTTGCTCTGTGTATGGTCTGCCTAACATGTTTGCCACTTCTATCCATTTTCTTTTTACAGCCAAGCATTATTAAAGCCTAAAAGTTTTTAAAATGCCAGGTCTGTGCTTAAGACACCTGCTATGGGAAACGTCAACATCACCATTGCCGACCTTCTAAAAAAAAAAAAAAAAAAAAAAAAAAAAAAAAAAAAGACAGTTGCCTGGCTGTCACTTTAATTGTCCAACATCAATCCTTTCAAATTACTTTCCTCCAACAAGTATGTAGTAAGAGAAGTCAAAACTTTATACATTATCTGGGTCAATTAAGTTTTAAAGTCACGTGACTGCATGAGAGCCTGGAAACTGACATTTTGAGAAACAGGTTAGCCCTGGCTTGCTACTTTTCTCGTAACAGATTTTCTTTAAAAAATGCCATCCCAAGATTTTATTTTGTATGGCCTAATTTTCTCTGCACACAAATAAATTAAGTATGGATATCAAACATAGGAGCCTCCACTTTCCCACCCAGCCAAAAAAAATTCTATTTGCAATAGTTACTGTGTTGACTACGTTGTTTTAATTTATCAGCTTGAAGTAAGCACTCCAAATATTTCTAGCAAACACCAAGCTGAAACAATAAAACAAGTGCATTATTTTAGTCCCTAAATTGCTAAATAAGAGTCCTCAGAGTTACCATCAAAATTTACAGCAAGCAAATGTCAATGTGTTGAAAGTAAAATGCTACATTGGGAAAGCATGGTAACTAATGAATTTAAGCACATGACTTACCTTAGCTGAAACCATGATTCTCATGAACAGATTGCCCTTTGAGTTTGAAAAATTAACTTTTTCTTACTATATATGTATTACATTCATACTAAAGATATCCTAAGTTCATCTACAGCTATAGAACAGGCTACACTGTTTTCTTGAGTGTGGAGAGACAGGTCTTTACTGCAGCATGTCGATGGCCTTCTGCATATCAGTCAGTGTGTCTGTGGGCTGGGGGCTTCAAGGAGCACCCAAGCTAGTGAGAAATGCCTGACCCTGGAAATGCAAATATATCCACATATACTAAACGTCCCTGGTCAGCCCTTTACCCATATCCACATAAAGCAAGATTTATGAGATGGCTCAGCCATGTGAAATGTCATGCTTCGCTAAAAGTGCCATATAGGTGAGAAGAGTCAAATTACAGAGGATTTGGATCTTTCACTGAAAAAAAGTCTATTAGCATGGTACATATTTCATATCTATTCAACATCACAATTGGTATCCGGATTTCATCTCTATAAACGTATTACATTTTTCACACAGTACAAGATCATAGATGGGATTACACTGCAGATTCATTATGTTAATATGTGCTGATGTAAATCTTAGATTCAAGTGGAGCTAAAATTACCTTTCCTTCAACTGTCCCTTGTCGCTTGCCAGCATCTGCATCTTCTGGGCGCTGGTCTTTGGCTGTCTTCATTTACCGGCAGGGGATGATGTCATTCCTGTGCATGAACAGGTGTCAGTCATGCCAGCACACTGGGCATGCAGCTCAGTTTACATTCCGGGGAACACTGCAAGCAGGCAGGTAGGTTTGTATGATTGCAGAAAAGACATGGTCTTCTTATTGCACGTCTTCTGCAATAAATCAGCCTGTCTGCTTGCAATTTGTGAAAGCAGTACTTTATTTCCACTGTAAATTCACTAATCTCCCTCTCATTGAATCTTCAGATTTGCTGACTTAACAAAAACTAAAGATCTTTATTTACAAAAAAAAAAAAAGTTAAAAAAGAGTTTTTAGTGGAGATTTGGAAACTAAGAGATGCATATCTTTGTGTAAATGTTTTTGCAAATTAGCCTGCAAAGGATTGCGAGCACAATCAGCGAATCGAGGGTGCAATACCAGGCCCAAGCAGACTCTTTCTCCAGCTCTATGACTGTTAGGAGGTACAAGCTATTTCAGTTAAGGGGCTGGAGCTATGGACTACGAGTGCCATGATCACCATACTTGTAACCCATTGAGAACTACAAGTCTGTCTACAGATCTCTGAATGAATGGCATGGCTGTGCAGGGCTCCACAGATTTCAAATCTGACAGTTCCTGCAGGGAAGAACAACCCCTACACACTGTCAGAGAGGAGGCCATTTGGCATTATGTTACATGGTAACATGGTTTTTAAAAGGTGAACTTAGCCTTTAAAACCGCCGCCCTATAACAGAAATGCTGGTACAGGGTGCCAGGGGTGTGCGAAATCACACATACATATATATATATGTACACACACACACACACACACACACACACACATATATACAGTGGAGCAAAAAAGTATTTAGTCAGCCACCAATTGTGCAAGTTCTCCCACTTAAAAAGATGAGAGAGGCCTGTAATTGGCATCATAGGTAGACCTCAACTATGAGAGACAAAATGAGAAAACAAATCCAGACAATCACATTGGCTGATTTGGAAAGAATTTATTTGCAAATTATGGTGGAAAATAAGTATTTGGTCAATATGAAAAGTTCATCTCAATACTTTGTTATATATCCTTTGTTGGCAATGACAGAGGTCAGACGTTTCCTGCAAGTCTTCACAAAGTTGGCACACACTGTTGCTGGTATGTTGGCCCATTCCTCCATGCAGATCTCCTCTAGAGCAGTGATGTTTTGGGGCTGTCGCTGGGCAACACGGACTTTCAACTCCCTCCAAAGGTTTTCTATGGGGTTGAGATCTGGAGACTGGCTAGGCCACTCCAGGAACTTGAAATGCTTCTTACGAAGCCACTCCTTCGTTGCCCGGGTGGTATGTTTGGGATCATTGTCATGTTGGAAGGCCCAGCCACGTTTCATCTTCAATGCCCTTACTGATGGGAGGAGGTTTGCACTCAAAATCTCACGATACATGGCCCCATTCATTCTGTCCTGTACATGTATCAGTCGTCCTGGTCCCTTTGTGGAGAAACAGCCCCAAAGCATTATGTTGCCACCCCCATGCTTCACAGTAGGTATGGTGTTTTTGGATGCAACTCAGCATTTCTCTCTCCTCCAAACACGACGAGTTGTGTTTCTACCAAACAGTTCTATTTTGGTTTCATCTGATCATATGACATTCTCCCAATCCTCTTCTGGATCATCCAAATGCTCTGTAGCAAACTTCAGACGGGCCCGGACATGTACTGGCTTAAGCAGGGGGACACGTCTGGCACTGCAGGATCTGAGTCCCTGGCGGCATAGTGTGTTACTGATGGTAGCCTTTGCTATGTTGGTCCCAGCTCTCTGCAGGTCATTCACTAGGTCCCCCCGTGTGGTCCTGGGATTTTTGCTCACCGTTCTTGTGATCATTTTGACCCCACGGGGGTGAGATCTTGCGTGGAGCCCCAGATCGAGGGAGATTATCAGTGGTCTTGTATGTCTTCCATTTTCTAATTATTGCTCCCACAGTTGATTTGTTCACACCAAGCTGATTGCCTATTGCAGATTCAATCTTTCCAGCTTGATGCAGGTCTACAATTTTGTTTCTGGTGTCCTTCGACAGCTCTTTGGTCTTCACCAAAGTGGAGTTTGAAGTGTGACTGTTTGAGGTTGTGGACAGGTGTCTTTTATACTGATAACAAGTTCAAACAGGTGCCATTGATACAAGTAATGAGTGCAGGACAGAGGAGCCTCTTAAAGAAGAAGGTACAGGTCTGTGAGAGCCAGAAATCTTGCTTGTTTGTAGGTGACCAAATACTTATTTTCCACCATAATTTGCAAATAAATTCTTTCCAAATCAGCCAATGTGATTGTCTGGATTTGTTTTCTCATTTTGTCTCTCATAGTTGAGGTCTACCTATGATGCAATTACAGGCCTCTCTCATCTTTTTAAGTGGGAGAACTTGCACAATTGGTGGCTGACTAAATACTTTTTTGCCCCACTGTATATGTACACACACACATATATATGTACACACACACACACACACACACACACACACATATACATACATACACACGTACACGTGATTTTGCATTTCCTACCCGTGCCGCCATTCGCAGCCTCGACTGTCAATCACTGAGTCCCAGCCGGTGATTACATGGCAGCACCCGGTGATCGCTGAGTATCACCGGCGGGGGGAGAGAACTGTATGTAAAACAACACAGTTCTCTCCTTTGTCAGCTCCAGCACACTGCTTTGTATGGTTCTGCATAGCAGAGCCATACAAAGCAGTGTGCTGACAGTGGAAAGCACAGACACATCCCCATAGTAATACAGCACACAGTGAACCCTTTGATCGCCCCAGATGTTAACCCCTTCCTGCCCAGTGCCATTAGTATAGTGCCTGTGCTTTTTATTAGCACATTATCACTGCATTGGTGTCACTGAGGATGTCAGTGACACCAAATCAATTCCCCCCAGTGTCAGAATGCCCGCCGCAGTCCCGCTATAAGTAGCTGATCGCCGCCATTACTAGTAAAAAAAAAAAAATTAAAATTTTTTTTTTTTTTTAAATACAGTATATATACCGCCGTTTGTAAACGCTATAAAACTTTCAGGTAAACCAAATAATGTACACGTATTGGGTTTTTTTTTTCTAGCTAAGACATGTAGCAAAATACATTTTGCTCTAAATTTGACAAAATTTGATTAGCATTTTTTTTTATTGGATATGTTTAATAGCAAAAGGTCAAGAATATTGTTTTTTTTTTCTCAAAATTGTCAGTCTTTTTTTGTTTATAGCACAAAGAATAAAAACGCACAAACGATCAAATACCAGTGAAAGAAAGCGCTCTCTGTGGGGAAAAAAAGGACGGAAATTTAATTTGGGTGCAGTGTGCATGACCGCAGAATTGTCAGCTAATGTAACGCAATGCAGTAACGCATAAAATGGCGTGGTCAAGAAGGGGGGGGGGGGGTAAATCCTTTGGAGGGAAGAGGTTAAAGCATCTAATTTTTCAAAAATGCATAATCCTCAACTAAAATATGCTACATCAGCCAATTTTTATATTTAATGGTGCTTAATTAGGTATTTGAATGTGAGCTTGAAGAAATTCAAGTAATTTTCTTTGGTTCAATGTACTAATTTTAGAAGTTGTTAGTAATTGCATTTTGAGTTGAGTGTTGGTAGTAAACATAAGCAATGCCACAGAAACATGAAATTTCTATATTTTGTTTAATGTAAAATAAAAGAGATACAACTTGTACATCTTAAATAAGAAACCAAAAGGGAAGGAAAAAAAAAAAAAAGGCATAAGAAATGGAGTCTAGCCACTGTCCTTTCTTCTTTTATGGCTGTGGTATCTATCTTCATTCCTGAAATTAAAATGACAGCTTTAGTTTCAACATCTTATTTAAAAAATAAATAAATAAAAAAATAATCAGATGAGATTTTGTTGTTCAACTCCAAAACCAATAAAAGAGAAAGCGAGAATGTAGCAATACAAAGGAGAGGGAGGAATCGTTAGCCATCACCTCGGACTCTTCCTGCTGCACCAAACCTGCCAGATGTGCTGCAACTGAGCAGCCAGAAAGTATAAACAGGCATTCAGGAACGCAATTCCCCCAGCACTCTTAGAGAGCTGCAACTGTTCCAACCAAATTCTAGGCGAGCCATATTTCCATAACAGCTGGCAAAACACAGAGTTCAGTGTCCTAAATAATGTAAGGGGTACCAGAACTGGGGCGTTGTGAAGTAAAGCAACTGCGCCATCATAATTATATTTAACCAAATTCGCCCCCCCGCCCAGCCATAGATAACCACAGTTTATTCCATAGTTGAATTTTGTTACGAAATGTAGCAAGCAGCGGGGCAATCTTTAGGCGGGAATAGTCAGTAATAACAGAGGAAATAACCGCACCCAAGTACTTAAAGGAGTCCACAACAGGGACGGGGCAGAAAAGGGATAATGCCAGAATAACCGTGCCCTCTAGGGGTAATAATTTGGACCAATTGTTAGTCTCAAACTCTGTAATCGCTGACATAGCTGCATTCACCGAGGTGGTTGTGACCCCCAGCATCAGAAGCAAGTTGTCTGCATATAACAATAGTGCGTGCAGAAATTAAATTGCAACACCACAAAATGCTCTGCAAGGGCACCTATCTAGAGAGATCCTAAGTTTTACAGTATGAACTTAACACAAATGTATATAAAAAGAAACACCAATAATGTTCACAAGGATAAAAACAAAAAAACACACCATACAAATACTGATACACTAACCACCTATAACAAAACTATGAACACCCTAACCAATATTTTGCAATTGTTGTATGTATTGTCTTTATGACGACAGGGGTGAGTTTGAACAGTGTTTGCTGTCATTTGACAAAGAAGTACTGAGCAATCACCAGCCATAAAATCAATGTGCTCAGCTCCCATCACCATATCTGTGACCCAGACTGTTAAGTAACAGCAAGTATATAGTGTGCTTGAAGGTGAACACTGCAGTATAGCTGCTCACAGAACATGAGCATGTGTACTTTAAAATACGTGAAATTAGAAGCCCTGCTGAAGAAATCCATGAGATAGCTATACCATGATTTGTGTCTACTTAACTACTTCAAGTCCGGACACTTTCACCCCCCTTCCTGCCCAGGCCAATTTTCAGCTTTCAGCACTATCACACTTTAAATTACAACTGCGCGGTCATGCAACTCTGTACTCATGAATATTTTAGCATTTTTTTTGAGACAGATAAAACTTTATTTTGGTGGTATTTATTCACCACTGGTATTTTTATTTTTTTTGCTATATAAATGAAAAAAATCTAAAAAAAAATTTTAAAAAAGTGTTTTTCCTATAAATATATAATCTTTCTTCATAAATCTTGGCCAAAATGTATTTGGTTATCTTTTTAGTTTTAAAAAAAAAAAATGGCGGAGGCGGGGGAGAAAAAAAAAAATTAACCCAAAATTAGTTTATAACCAAAAGTTATTATTTTTCAAATTATTGTTTTTACATTGTTATATATTTTTTTTTTTTATATTATGTTTTCGTTTATAACATACTGTCACCCTAGCAGTACAGTGTCACCATAGTGACACTGTACTACTTGTGGGGGGGGGGGGTAATGATTTTTTTTTTTTTTTTTTTTACACTGATTGCTTTTACACCCATAAAGGCTGTAAAAGCAATAATTTCTCCTGCTCTCTGGCTGTCTTCTTGCAGCCATTGAGAAATACTGTGAGAGCTGTGATTGGTCACGGCTTGTCACATGGTACAAGGCTGTTGTGAATAGCCTTGTACCATGTGACCTCTGTGATCATTCAGATTTCACTAGTAGTAAGCCATGATGTCAGAAGTGACAACTACTACTATTCATGTGATCACTGATTTGGCCACTCAGTGATCACTGATTTGGCCACTCAGTGATCACTGATTTGGCCACTCAGTGATCACTGATTTGGCCACTCAGTGATCACTGATTTGGCCACTCAGTGATCAGTGATTTGGCCACTCATGATCACATGATTTGCCCTCAGTGATCACATTTGGCCACTCAGTGATCACTGATTTATCAGTGATCACATGATCGTGCCCTCACACACAGGTCCCGTATAGCGATCGGTGTTCCACTGTGTCCTCCGGACAAAGCGGGCACAGGATCGCGGTGTTGCGTTCTCCCAGGGAGCACGCACAACCTGAAAATGCGGGCGCCGTTTATGAACGGCAACCTGCTCCTGCACTGCTCCCGTCCGGCCGTTTATGTACATGGGCCGGACAGGAAGTGGTTCAAGGATACATTCACCTTCTGTAACACATAACTAAAGCAGCACCTGCCCACACCCCCTCTCTGTCCCAGTAGAGGGTAGGGGATCTTTTCCCAGAACCCGCTGTTACAATTTAAGAACAGTGCTCCACCCACCCTGCCACTTAATTTATTCACAGAGATCTGCGAATGAACTACAAGTCTCGGGTTTTAGTTCCAAGTGAACTGTGAAGGGCAGACAGCTGTACTGTTTGCAGGAGCCTGCCACTGCAACTGTGATCCATTGATTGTGGGTGCAATGCTTTGCAGGCTGCAGTGGCAAAAAAAAAAAAAAAAAAAAAATTATTTTTTTACCTGCAAAATCATGGGCATTGATTTTTTTTTACAGGTGAACTTGGCCTCTAACCCTGCAGCTTCTCGCCATTCAAATTTTGTACGGTATACTTGCTTGTACATTAGTAAATAAAACCAATTAGCATGAGGGGAAAAAAAAAAACAGTTAAAGAATAAAAAAAATATCTTGCCTGTCTTTTTTAGGTCTAAATGCCCTGTCTCTTTCTCTGCTTCGCCGTTTGTGAGGACTTCTGGCATGCTCTCTTCTATGACCAGATCGACGCCTGTCCATTTGACTTCCTCCTGACTGCCTGGACTCAACAGATGGAGATCTTGGTTTCTCCCTTCTGCAAATAAAAATTGTAAAAAGGATTATCAGGTTATTTCATTGAATATTGGTGCCTTACAACGGGAAATGTTATACTAAGAAAAGGTGTACAATATATTTGTAGCCTAAATGGATGGGTCTCCTACACTTGCAGCATTATTTATTAATGGGTAGATAGTTTATTTTGGATACTGCAAGCTTATTACTCCTGAAACACAATGCATGCCTTCCAAAGGAAGAAAAGTTTTATTCACCTACCAAAAACCCATATAATTAAACTATTTATAACTAGGGTGATCTCATTGTATGGACGGTTGTCCTTCAGGCTTACCTATTAATAGAAGAGGAAGAAATAGAGGAGCTAGCATCATCATGCATTTCATCACGCCAACTGCTGTTCAGCTCTTCCATATGTACATTGATGACATCACGTATTATCTGAAAGGGAAAGAAAAAAGAAGCTTTGCATAAAATGATGGCACGCATGCACACACACGAAAAAGGTGCAAAACATGTTACATCTTGCTCCCCATCTATAAAACTTACAGATGATGATACCTCCCTACTCCTATATTTCAACAAATTCAATACTTCCAGTACTCCATATCACTAACCAGTGTAGATCTTGACACTTCCACTATGCAAATTTGCAATACCCTTCATATTGTAAGTCCCTTGTACTTTTTCAGTTTCCCAAATGTCTATGCATATCTCCTCAAATGAAATTAACATCTCCATTCCTCAACATTAAAATTGATGACCTACTGAGCAAGACTGTACTGATAATGTATACCAGCCTAGCTGTTAGTTACTGGTTACATCTACCCTAAGCCCCGGTCACATCGGCTGCGATTTGGCATGCGATCTGCATGCCAGAAGACTTGCAAATCGTATGCCAAGTCACACCCTATTGTCTGCTATTAGAGCAGTCATATCTGTGCTGTTATTATTATTATTATTTCAGGTACTTATATAGCGCCATCCATTTACGCAGCGCTTTACATATATATTGTACATTCACATTAGTCCCTCACTCTCAAGGAGCGTTTAATCGAAGGTCCCCAACTCACATTCATACATACACATACTAGGGCCAATTTAGACAGGGTCCAATTAATCTACCAGCATGTCTTTGGAATGTGGGAGGAAACCAGAGTACCCGGAGGAAACCCACGCAGGCACAGGGAGAACATGCAAACTTCAGGCAGGTGGTGCCATGGTTGGGATTCGAACCAACAACCCTATTACTGCCTGGCAGAAGTGCTAACCATTTAGCCACTAAACTGCCCTGACTTGGTCGGAGCCTCACTGATTTCTAAAGTAGTACATGCACTACGTTTGTTGCGATTTGCATAGACATCTGTGTCAGGTATCTTGCAAATCGCAAGGAAATCGGCAGGTCACCAGATTTTGAAATCGTGCGACTTCACTGTAAGTCGCACAATTTCAAAATCGGCTTTGAAGTCACCGGGGGCTAAACCAACATTTTACTTTTCATTATTGCTGGCAACTTAAATCACCAAATGTGTACATCACAGGGGAAACTAAGGATTTTTCTGAATATTTATGTCCCTGCATACACGCACAAAAACTGATGGAAACGGACGAGCAGATTGCACTTGCAAAGTCATCAGTTTACATCAGTTTTCATGTGCGCTTCAATGAGATTTATTCACGTTGCAGATTCCTACGAAGAAAATAAATCTGCAGGTGATACCAGTGTTGTGAACAAGGCACAGAGGACAATTGATTTCATTGTGCCCTTGCTGAACGCATGCAGAAAAACGGACATCTCTGCATCATGTGGTGTACAAGCCCTTACAGATAACATGGAAGTTCCACTACAAAAATTACTGTCTTATTATAGGATTGCGGAAGGGCAAAAATCTAAATTCACTGGTACCCATCCGTACCGATACATCAGTTTTGGGTTAAGATGGTCAATACTAAAAAAAAGTCTCAACAAACTACATAAGAATAAACAGCGTTTGAGGGGCGTTTTTCACACTCCTGAAACTCCTATGCAAATGATACTATGGGCAGCACACAGTGTGGTTCACTTTATGAAAACATTTTAAAAAATTAATATCATTACAGTTCATTATAGGAATTTGTGGTGCATTTTTGACGCTTGTAAAACGCTTATAAAATGCGGCAAAACAGCATGTAGGGCGTTGGCAGAAAGTGTTTTTAACGCTTGTAAAAAGGCCAGTCTAGTGCCCATACCAAGACTCTAACGCCTGTCTAATGCTATAGGAGCATTTGCTGAGAGTTAGAAATTTAGTCAAGTGCAAAAAAAAAAGCCCTTACCGTGATGTAAGTCTGCTGACAGAGATCATTTGGTCAAGATGAAGTTTATACACAGAAGTGAATGAGGCAGAGCAGTGTCTCATCCCTAATTGAACACTCGCCTGTAGTTGAAGTTAGATAAGCCATAGTGCTCTGGGAATCCTTTGGTATGCATTAAGGGCTAGTTCACACCACAAAAACATGATGCGTTTTTGCTTACAGTTCACACCACAAATTCCTTCCAAATGCATTTCTACATGTATTTTTGATGCATTTTTAATGCATGCATTTCAGTGCATTTTTCCTCTCGTTTTTTTCTTTTCAAAAGGTTTCATGGGGTTTTTTTTCATGTGAGGTGTTCTCGTGTATTTTTGATGGGTTTTGACATGTTCCCGTACAGTTCTGTGCAGAAAACATGCTGTATGTTCTACTTTTCTGCACTAGAAAACACTGGAACTGACTGCACTGGTGTGAACTATACCATTGGAACCCATATAACCTACTGTTGTTGCATAAAAAAAAAAAATGCACTGGACTGCATCTGGTGTGAGCCAACCTTACATTTTTTTTTTTTTTTTTTTTATTTTTTTTAAACAGAGTGTAAACACTTGCCCCAAAACCATTAATGTTTTTAGTAAACCAGCAAAGTATTACCTCTGTGTAGGATTTCTTTGTTATGTGAACATTCTTTGCCCTGTAAGATTGTCTTCTCCTTTTGTAGTCCCTCATTTCTGCCATAATTTCAAGATGGGACTTTGGACACTTCTGGTCGTCATCTTTGCAGAAAATATAGACGTGGAAATCAGTTACATTTAACAGAATGGAAGCAATGAATTTTTACTAAAACAAAACTTTCAGACAAATTTAACTCAGAGTGGCCT